AGCCTCCACTGCACCAGGAATGGCCACCGCTGGCCCCACACCCATGATGGCTGGATCTACCCCCACTGCCGCAAACGTCCTGTGCAAGTAAGTCTATATGATTCAGCATTCCATATTTAGGACTACTATCTGCAATTTCTCTCTACATTCACATCCACCTGAATACACCCAAAACCGGAAGTCCTTTCTGCGTTGCAACACTTCTCTTCATCAGAAGAACAGCTCCTGCTCCATCACTTACTTGGCTGGAGTTTCCTGTTTGCATCGTGGGAGGGGGAACACATCGCAATGATACCATTATATCTTCTCATTGAAGATGAAACACAATTCATCTATAAGTGAATCACGTACCAGCAGTTGTGGTTCCATCCTTCTTAAACACAGGTTTCAGCCTTGCAAGGTCCGACAGGGTTGTGCTTGGTCTAATCCCATCATCCACAGCAACCGTTACAGTTTTCTCATCACCCGTCTTCGGGTCAACGATCTGAAAAGTGTAACACAAAATCATTAGCCGAGGGCACAAGAGGACTGCACTTTAGCTACCTGGACAAAAGCCTAAATAAGGACAAATCTGAAAAATACCTTGGTAGTTACGGGGATTATTTCATCCTTGAATTTGCCAGCAGAAGTAGCAGCAGCTGCCTTTCTGTGAGACTCAACCTAAAAAAATATCACTTCAAAAATCAGCACAGGAGATACAATCTAGGGGGATGCAAAACAAAACCGTACTGAATATTTTGAGACGACTCACGGCAGCTTGATCCTGCTCCTCCCTAGTCACACCAAACCGACCTGCTACATTTTCTGAAGTAACACCCATCGGAAGAAGGCAGTTTTGTGCTTGTTCAAAGCTCTTCACCTGCAATGATATAATAGTTAAGTGGAGCTGAAAAAACTTAATGGCACTGATCAAGACCCCTCAAAGGCGGAAAGAGATGACAAAGAGACAATAATACCTTTGGGTTGACTGACCCTTCCCATGCCATTGGATTGGTTGTCATGGACTCTAACCCAGCCCCAATACCTGCATTCAAAATATATCATTAGCTCAGTTCTACCAAGTGGAAAAAGACACCTCATCCGTCAAAAAGAGTTTTTCTCTTACCAATGTCATAAAATCCAGCTTTTATGGCAGCGGCTACATCAGCAACAGCCTGAAGGCCAGATGAACACTGTCTGTTCACAGTTCTAACAGGCACAGTTTCTACAGAAGACCACGATAACATGAGTACACAGAAACAGAAACAAATATTTGCATGACCAAGAATCGAAGAGAACATACCAGGGAAGCCAGCATAGAACGCAGCCATCCTGCATTCACTGGCTCTTTGGGATCCTGGCGCCAAAACGGTACCCACAACAATGTCACCAACTTCATTCGGGTTTACATTTGTCTTCTCTATCAATGCCTGAGCCAAAGAGGTGTCATATAAGTAGTAGGGAGGAAAAAAAAAAGCAGCCACAACAAATGAATGAAAAGGGCAGTTGCAGACCCTCAAAACAGGTGCAAGCAAGTCGTCTGGATATGTGTCCTTGAATCCACCACGTTTCGACTTGCAAAGTGCGGTCCTATGCGCCCTGTGAGATATTGAAAGGTGAATTAGTCACAAGAATCTTATAAAGGCTCGATAAATCTTCTCGAGTTAGAGAGAGAGAGAGTGAGACTTACGCGACAATCACTACATCATCCCCATACAGTGAAGTCCTCTGATATGCAGCACTGTCTCCCGCCAAGCAAGCTGAGGCCTGGTAAGTTGGTAACAATACATTAAAAAGAAGATCAGATAAAGAAGAATATGGATGCTCCAGGAAAATCGAATAAAGAACCAGAGCAATGAATAACAGCACGCATAAGGTTCCCAGACAACATACACCGACCATTACAGCGCTCGAAGTTAAGGAATGGAGGCGTGGTCCACCCCATTTGGATGACAAGCTATCAATCCGACAGCAAAATGCAAATCAGAAAAGGAAACATTCGCTGTGTCCCAGAGACGCTTCAACCAGAAAAGCAAACTGATATCTTTAAAACATGAATGAACTTTTCCAGAGAGGGAGGGGAGGGAGTGAGAGAGAAGACATATTTACAAAGTTCCAATAAGAAAAGACGCAAATTTAAAAAGATACGAGAAGAATCAGAATATGCATACGCACACTTTCTACAAAACACCAATCAACGTAATCCAGTAGATCAACAACCAACAGAAACACAAACGAAAAAGGGATATTTCAATCTTGATGTTATAAACCAAGCAGCAAATCAAAGCCATAAACCCGATCTTCAGTCACATCAATCCCAGTTCACGGCTAAATCCACAATTTTCAGCTCAAACACCGATGAGTATGGAACCAAATCAAGAGAAAGAAACACAAAAACAAAAACCGAAAAGTCCGTAAGCGAAATCCAGATCACGCACAAGCCAGAATTCCCAGCGAAAACCTAGAGACGAATAACAGAATCTGGATTCAGCGAGACGGTGCTTACAGAGAGAGACGCCTCGAAATTGTGCGAGGGAGAAGAAGAAGGACGGAGATGCTCAAGCAGAACCCTCTGTCTCTCGATCGCCTTCTCCATGTTCACCGATTACAGCAAGATCGAGACTTTTTACTCGGAGAGATTTCTTTCAACACGAAACTGCAATCTCCGCTCCCGACGAGATTATTTATAGCGGCGAAGTATCTAATGCATTTCACACGCTTCGACGGTTCGGGATGATGACCCAAAAAAAGAAAATTAAATAAATTAATTAATGCATTTTTTTTTCTTGCCGAAAAATCCTAAAACTTAAATTTCTATTTTTGCTAATGTTTCTTCTTCCGTAATTGGATAATGTTTCTGGTGACAATTTAATGTAAAAACTAATCACTTTTCATATAAAATATTGAACTTTAATTATCAGCTAATATTACGGGTTCAGATATACACCATCAAAATCATATTTTAAATCTGAAAATAATTATGCCGATCAAAAAAATATCTCAAAAATATATCAGTAACAATTTTTTTTTCTCACACAAAAAAAAATATTTAAAAAACCATACAGATGATGACGTGTCGGATACGTACGATAAGCTCAGAAGATATGGGCTTTGGAGTGAGTGCCCGTATGGGTAATAAACTAATAATTAGTATCTATGGATCTCTAAACCTTTCCAGAAATTATATTCCGGCCCACAAATGGTATCTAACTTAATTTTACACCCCAAGAAATCTGGATATTCTTAATTAGGGCACAAAATCGTTACTTGGTTAAAAAATGCCCCCGATTTAGATTAAGTTTTCAGTTTACGGTAATTAAATTTATAGAATATAGCAGCTAAATCTTGTGTTGTGAAAAAGAGAATCCTCTTTGATTGAGAAACACATTTCTCATATATAACACAATGACCCCTCAACTTTTGGGTACAACTAATTTACCCCCCAATGTGTATAATCAAATCAAATACTATATTTTTTACAAACTCCGTATGATGGAATCTAGCATTTCCCCCCATTTTTTTTTGTATTAGATTCCTCTCGGCCAATAATTCGGACAACCCCAAAAAAAGTGAACATCTTACAACATGAGTAGATTCATGGTCTGAAGTTGATCGGACGGCTCAGATTCGTCGCTTGGGGAGCAAGGCAGCGGACATGGAACGGAGACGGTCAACGATATCCGTGAAAGAAGGGCGGTCGGAGGGATCGAACGACCAGCATTGCTCCATCAGCTTTCTCCACTCTTTCTCGCACTTCTCCGGCACCGGCGGTCTCAACGTGTTGTTCACAATTCCACCTTTTTTTGTCAGAAATATCAGAACACGAACAGTACACTGAAGATTTTCGTTGTTTGTTTCAACGATTGGAAAGGGAAGGATCGATATATAGAGAAAGAGGGTATATACCGATGATGGCGCCGCAGTGCATGTTTGCATAGGGTTCTTCCCCTGTCAAGATCTCCCACATTGCTATTCCGAATGAGAAGACATCTACCTGAAATTGGGACAAGATTTTGTTCTGAGAGACAGAGAGACAGAGAGACGGAACAGCAATGGCGGTTTCAGAGCCACTGGTTTGATCTTGGGAGAGAGAGAGAGAGTACCTTCTCAGAGACACGGTTGCTGCTTCCATTTAGAAGCTCAGGTGCCATCCATGGAAGGGTTCCCCTTACACCACCCGAGACCAGAGTGTTTCGTTTTATTCTGGACAGCCCGAAATCACCCACCTGCAAGAGGGAACTGTATGTATTGATGCGATTTCGATTAAAAAAAACGATCCGAGAATAGGCCGGCCGAGGGTCAGTACCTTGCAGATCGGTCTCTGAGCATCTCTCAAGTTGACGAGCAGATTGTCGCATTTCAGATCAAAGTGAACGATGTTCTTCATATGCAGATACTCCATTCCAAATGCAGCATCCAGAGCTATCATGAGCTTTTTCCTCCTATCAAGCGATCTGCTGTAATGATGAAAGAAAAATCTCAGAGACTTTTGTCATATGTATAAGAGAAAACAAAAAGGAGTGCGGCAATGTTGAAAAAAACCTGTCTTTTCTCTGCAGGGCATGTCTCAGAGAGCCATTCACCATATACTCGGTTACAGTCGCCATAGTTCCACCGGGTCCATCTGGTACGACTCCATAAAACGCCACCACGTTTGGATGGTGAAGGTTTGCCAATATCCTTGCTTCTCTCCAGAAATCTTTCGTCTGCATTATATGAAAATCTTTTCGAATGCTAAGATTCCTGGATGGATACAAAGTAATTCATACTTAAAAATGATTTAGAGTGAGTAAGCTTTACCTGCCGTTCTTGCTCGGATGATCTTCCAGAGAAACAGCTATTCTTTATCCTCTTGATAGCAACATCAGTTCCTCTCCACTTCCCGTAATAAACAGTTCCGAACGTCCCCGACCCAAGCTCGTGTAAGTCCTCGAGGTCCGCATTCTTTATAATCTGCACCCAGAAGACAAAACACCGCAACAGGAAGTGTGGTTAAAGAATCTGTCTGATTCTTTCCCATAATTAATGAGGATTCCATGCATTTTCATCGTTCGTCTAAGCCTAAACAGAGTGAAAGTGCTGATCATTTTCGACCTGTAAGCCGTAAATCCCAGCCTCAATTTCAACCATTGCGGACTCGCTGATTGATTCATTAGTATTTCTGCGGTTTCCATCCTTTTCCTGCAACACAAAAAAGCACAGTAGTAGTCAGAATCCACTAGCAACAAACGCCAAGAAATGTTGCAGATATAATCCAAGAGAGCAGTACCTCAATTTCGAATTCATGACCGTCGCCAGTTTCCTTTTCTTCCCTTGAATAGAAATTATTATCTTCCGACTCGCTCTGTACACGAGGGAGGATAGTAGATTCTATTGGGACCACTGAATCTATTCCGTTCGTCACATCCACAACTATGAGTGCCGGACCAAGAGACTTGTTTTCGCGGAAATCATTCGAATCCTGCGTGTGCAAGAACACAGCATCGCTAGATCCCACCTTTCCAAGCGGCATTTCACAAAAATGCAAACTGTTTTCTCTAGGAAGAGGACTCCGAGTGCTTGCATCATCACTTATCTCCAAATTCTGAATCATCAGATGCAGTATATATCAGAGACATTTTCCAGATAAAAAACTTGTAAAAACTAGAGATAGTCGTAGCTGATTCAAGAAATTCCTTCATCTGTATTGTTAAGAAGGTAAAATTATGCTTACACATCTTGGAATGGGCGGTTCCCGTCTTTCAGACTCATCCAGCAAATTCCTGGTGGATGCATGGTAATCGGCTTGACCACTCTGGCTTCTGATCTCAGTAACCGGAGCAGTATCTAGTTGAACATCGTTCAATTTCTCCCTCAAAGCATCGGCAGAACTTTCATTCGGGTTCACTGATAAAGTGAATACCGAGCTTCCTGAGTCTTGTGAATGACGTGAAGTAACACGGTCGAAGGGTTGGAAGTTTGAACTCATGGGGTTGGTCTGATCAAAAGGACCAGGATCATCATGGTCAATCCATTTCGGGACTTCCATAGAAAACTCAAGGCTGTTGTCCTTGCATATGTTCTCTGGATTCTTGACAGAGGGACTAGGCTCTTGCCATTTCACTGCAGAATTTGACATGGCCAAGGAAGGTAATCTCTCTCTCACTATTTTCCATCTCTGTGGGGTAATTGATTCCAACCTACTGTTACTCTGGCTCTCATCATGCAGCAGTGGATCAGAAAGAGCGTTTTTCTTGAGCATCGGTTTCTTAGATCCCATATAAGCTTGACAAGTTTGGTTGGGATGAGGGAAAATGTCACCGCTCGGGCTCCGGTAATGAAAATTCATTTCCGACTGCTTCTGCATTTGTTTAGTCTCCATCAAGAACTGATGCTGTAGCGGAAAGTTAGGAGGAACCACGTAAGATATGTTATTGTCGAAGAACCCATTCGAATCAACGAAGTATGGGATGTCAGTATTTGCTCTCTGGTGAACTGGAAATGGCGATGAAGGAGGAGATTGCTGACCAAATGAATTCCTCGGAATCTGCATTGCAGGCATGAAGTGAACAGGACCAGGGTTTGGAAAAGCGGCCAAGAAATTCGACGTGGTTGGACTGCAGTCTTTGTTTTCCAGTGTACGACCAGAAGTAGGCGAGTCTCGATGAAATGTAGGGCTAAAGTCTGAAGCATTATTCCCGAACTGTGTGGTCTGACTTGCCATGCTTTGGCCACTGGAACTCTTCCCAGGACTCGCATCCACAACACCGTTAAGAGCGGAAAGATAGTGATAATGATCAAAATCTGGTTGCTGCTGCATGTTCTTGTTCGTGTTTGTGCTCCTCCCATTGAAAGAGTTCGGGCTATCCGGTTCAACTGAAGACACGAGAAATATCCGTATCTTTTGAGAACCCGCTCTTTTCTCAGCCTCTTGGTACTCTTCAATCATGTGAAGAAGATCTTCATCCGAGCAAACAGAGATCAACGCGTCGAGATCTTCTCCGGGTAATTGGTACTTGATCGTGTGGGGATAATTGCATACAGCATACGTCTTTTGCATCAGTTCGTTGAGACCAACATGTTTCCTTATCGAGATAATCCGAGTCTCTCCTCCAATGTACCTAAGCTTCCCATCACCTGGCCGTGGTAAGATCCTTCCCCCAAAGCTGCAGAGAAACTTCAGTTTTCCCGGCAAAGAAGCATCCGATGCTGTGTGATACATCCGAGGTGAGTCTGTTGTAATGTCGAAGGGCACGGGATTTGGTCGATGAGCAGCATTGTTGTAGTAATTTCCGCCCATCCGATGCATGTCACTGACAGCATGGTCCATGTATCTTGTTATACTACTATCCCGATGAAGCTGAGAATCGGGCTCGGCTGAATATCCGCTAAGGGGAATAACGTCTGAAACATCAGAATCAACTCTCTGAAGGCCGAGGATTCGATTGAGATCCTCGTAAACAAGCTGGCGATTATGGCTGTTCTCAACGTTGTTACTGGCAATATGTGCTCTTCGTTGAGTGGCACGATCCCTCGGGAACTCATCTGAAAACTCCTCCCCTGTCTGGATACAGATATTATCTATGTTTCTGCTGTTAACACGGCTAATGTCCCTGCTGAAACTATCCCTATCTACCTGCTGGTTGGAGCTGGAGCTGCCGGGAACCTCCATTGTCATGCTGTCCGAGCAAAAAAAAATGAAAAGCCTATGTCCTATTCTTCTCCACCCGGACAAAAACCCTGCATTCTCAAGGCCGTAGAGGTCAATATACGAACACTTGCTTCAATCTTTCTGAGGAACAAGTTTCGCTGATGTGGATCTAAACCCGTTGAGACGTTACCCTTCTCTTAATCCGCAAGCTAATCCGAATTTCAGAATGAAAATGCGGAAAACCAGGTGATTTCATCCTCCATTCCAGATTGTAATTATCCTCAGGTCAGGTCTTTGAGGAAATACAGCAAACAGGTTGTGGAAATCAAACACGAACCCGTGTGTCATCCACCATCAAAACTCCGGCAAACACGATCAACAACTGGATATACACCGGTACAAGATCTTAACTAAGACAGGACACAGATTCTCTTTCCAAATTCATCACACGAAATTCCCTGCATAAGCATAACAACGACAACAGGATTATATCAACCCTCCTTAGATGGATTCGTCTATAAAGCTACAAGGATCATCGAAATTTCAGAACTTCCTTTCCTGCAAATGACCGAGTCAATCATATCAACGGAATAAGAGGGCATGTATACGAACATGAAGCATCGAAATCATAGATGAGATAAAATGCGCATTGACGGATTGACAAATTCAAATCGAAACGAAATGATGAAGATTCAATTACCCGGAAAGTGAGGAAATCGGGATTGCGGATGAGAGATTGGCAATGAGGGGAACGAAAATTCGAAACTGGGAGTTTGTCCGGTGGGAAAAATCAAAAGAATTTCTCTGAAAATGGAAAAGGGGAAGGAAAAAAAATTGGAGTTTTCGAAAGTTGGGGTTTTTGGTTCGTGAGGTGTGGAGAGAGAGAGCTCAAAATAACGCGGGGGGGACAAACTCCAAATAAACTAAAAAAACGAAATTCTCTCTCTCTCTCTCTCTCTCTCTCTCTCTCTCTCTCTCTCTCTCTCTCTCTCTCTTCCTCAAATGTCTTTTTGTTTGATCTCGAAATTATCTAAAAATAAACAAAGTCGCAAAATAAAATTTTAATTTTTACTTCAAATTGAAAGAAAAAAATAATGTAAAAAATTTACAAGAATATGAAAGTTTATTTTATAATTTTAAAAAAAAATTAAAAACAAGTAACGAAAATTAATCAGTCACACAAGCTAAAGTTGTTATCATGCATAATAGCAATGACGAAATCTACTCACATTTGACATGTATACATCAGTTGGAATATGCAATTTAAAATTTTATAACTAAAAAAATAATTGTTCAATCTCATTCCTTTTTTTCTTTTTTTTTTCTCCAACCTCATTCTACTGCACGGAAATTAGAAAGGCTAATATAGATCTTTGGAATAACCCAAAAATAGTAATTTACATATTTTATTCAAAACATAATGTCAGCAGCAACTATTTACATATATATATATATATATATGTTGTGCATTATGTTGCGGACATTATGTTATGCACGTTGAAGTTTAAATGAATTTATTAAAATTTTATATTACATTATCATAGATACGGTACAGTTTGAAAGTGATAACAAATTCGGTCCCCAATTATTTGGCTCTAAATGCGTCTAATCACCCAAAAGAAAAAAAAAGAACATTCACATTGCCGATTAACAATAATTATACACTAATCAAGGCAAGTTATCAACGGTCAAGATCGCCCAAAAGAAACCACACAGCTCGATCTGAACCGTTGGATATGGTTTCAGGCAACACACTTATGTTTCTCATCCAAAGTCATCAATCTCAAATACAACAACAACATAAGGCATGGACAAAGCACATACAGCACATAAAGATTCCAATGATCATCTTTACCGGTAAGACTCGGGACGTTTAGGCTTGCTTTGAATCACTTGCTCGATCTTGTCCAGGACCGTAGGCGTCAGCAACGGTATGACCTCGACCGCCTTCATGTTTTCTTGGATCTGCATTTCGAGAAAATAAAAAATGCAATCTTTTTCAGCATCTTACTTGTATATGTGTGTCCGGGTTCGAAGTATGTTCTGTCGGGGCAAGAGGGTTTCCACTGATTTTCATTTACAGACGAACCCTTCACCGTAAACTTTGAATTGAACCCGGGATTATATATGTGAGTTGAAGAACCAACCTGAGACTCTTTAGTGGCACCCGTGATGACGGATGACACGTTCGGATTGGTGGCGCACCAGGCAATTGCAAGCTGAGCCAATGACACGCCCAGTTCATCTGCAATTGGTTTGAGGCCGTTCACTTTCTTCAGCACATCATCGACCAGTGATCTGTTGGCAAGGTTCTGCAAAACAAAGAACGGTCTCCTCATCTTTTCTGCTCAAGAAAAAGGGTTTTAAGCTGAGAATGCAAGAAAACGGTATGTAACCAAGCAGGAGGCGGCCTTACTTTGTAATTCTCCAAAGCAAACCGGCTGTCGGGAGGAATAACTCCCTTGTTGTATTTTCCCGTGAGGACACCCGATGCGAGTGGGCTCCATGTGGTGAGACCTAAGCCATAGTTGGTGTACAGAGGGAGGAATTCTGTTTCAACCTGCATCATATATGATCACAAAAAGTCAAGAATGGAACAAAAAAGCATAAAGACATGAGCGGGAAAGGCATCAGATACATGCTTTGTGTCTGGAAAACATGTTGTATTCCGGCTGCTCAACAATCGGCCCAATCAGATCCAACCTCTCGGCAACTGCCCATGCCTCGGTTATCTGTTGCGCCGACCACTCACTTGTGCCCCAGTAGAATGCCCACCCCTTATCTATCACATAGTTCATCGCCCTCACTGTCTCCTCGATAGGAGTCGAAGTGTCCGGCCTGTCACGGAAAGGAAGAAACTTTCCATGTAGATTTCCAATATGGAACATACGGCACAATCACGCTGCAAGAATCTGATGAAACAAATACACAAATGCCATTCCAGCGAAAGATTGTGGGAAAGTTTCCCACATTCACGCTCTTTATGGATCACTTGAAACTGTAGTATAAATACGGTGAATTGCAGATCTGGATAATCTGCAGTAACCTTATACCAAAATCAAATGAAAGCACAGTACAGCAATAACAGATCCACAAAATACCACAGCTAACACCTCACTCATGCGATACTTTATATTGTCGAAACCTCAATTAACCGGACAAAAGGGAAACTTGTTCGCCAAGTTCCGTTCTTGACGGAATTAGTCTGCTAGACCAATGAGATTAAATTGTTAAAATCTTGGACAGATTTGAACTGATGCATCCAATCTCGATAATCATACTGCAAGGACACCTTTGCCAAGGTTCAATCTATTACAGGATACAAGATCTCGTCACTGTACAAACGAAAGATTATGGATGGAGGCCGCAGCATTGTTTATTCAGTCTGCAATCAATTTCCAGGACCGACAACTTCGAGTTCGAAAATCGTTCTTGAATCTTTACACATGTGTATAGGCATCCACGTGAATACATACACAACCGAATTAGGGGCAGTTAAAAAGAACACATTTACTACTTATCACAAGAGATCTCGAGATCAATTTAGAAAAATGACAGAACATCAATGCAAGAGAAATTCCAGACAAACCCACTTCACTAAATCGATAAAATCAATGTACTTCAGATCAAATCAATCAAAAACCCATAATTTTGAAGAATTCAAAATATAAGAAAATTTTAGAAGAAAAAAATGAAATATTTACCTGTGGCAATAGAGCACATCAACGTAATCCATATCAAGCCGTTTGAGGGAAGCCTTGGTTCCTTCGACGATGTGTTTCCGCGATAAACCCTTGTCGTTAGGACCAGGCCCGCCCCAGAAGATCTTAGTGGAGACGACGATGTCGGATCGGCGCCAACCCAGCTCGCGAAGCGCCTGACCCATGATCTCCTCGGCTCTTCCATTGGCGTAGACCTCGGCGTTGTCGAAGAAATTGACGCCGTGGTCGCGACAGCACTGGAGAATAGACTTCGCCTCCTTCACATCGAGCTGGTTCCCGAAGGTCACCCACGCGCCGAACGAGAGCGTGCTCACCTTCAATCCCGATCTCCCCAAGTTCTTGTACTGCATTTTTTTTCTAGGGTTTTTTTTGGTGCTTTTGCTTCGATTCTTCCTCTACATGGGTCTATTATGATTTCGGTAGTCTGTGTCAAGCGAAAGTGACGCTTGCCGATGGAACAGAGACGCCTCTACGTCCGCTGCTAAAAAGTAATCGATTTTCGAAAAGGAAACAAATCGAGTGAAGTAACCGAAATTCGGTTAACCGGTCCGGTTCACGAGATAACCGAAATTCGGTTGCTCGTAGCCGTAGGATATCATAAACGTTCAAACTGGATAATGGATTTAAAAATTCACTACTCGTAGATCCAGGTCGGATAATATATATATATATTCCATGAGTAGCTAATTTGATCCGTAATTTTTAAATGAAAAAATTTATAAAATAAATTTCAGTATACGATATGGAAATGTGTCTAGTAATTATATTATTATAAATTAGATAAGGTATTTTCTTTTTATATTCTCGAATAAAAAAAAATGTGAATATGAGATTCTCGTGTTCCTAAATGGGCCAATTAAAGGCCTTGAATATCCACACGAGAATTCCATAAAACGTGAAATAAACAAAAGTGACAAATTAGCCAATTCGGCCCAATATTCCATTTTTTGATGGTGGTTTGAGAAACTAGACTTAGAATTACCAAATTAACCTTATATAATGGAAACTGCCGTTTGAATTTATATTATCATAATTGAAAAGGTGAATTACCACAGTCGATATAATAATTATTACTATATTTTTAATTATTATTTTATATATTTTTGGAATTTGTAGTTGCCAATAATTATGAATTGCTTTTGGTGATGGTTGGAGGAACAAATGGTGTGTGAAAGCATGTGATTGTGGGGTTATTGCATTGTAATGAGCTCACACACCCAATTGAAATCAACAAGCAAAAAATAAAAAAAAAAAAAAAAAAAGCTTCACCCGAAATCACCAACCAAATAGTTGACATTTATCATCTATGTTTTTTTTATTTTTATTTTTATTTTTTATTTCTAGAGAAGTATACATATATATATGTGTGTGTGTGTGCAATCTAAATTACAATCAGAAAATTAATTATTCTTTTCAATTATATTTTGATATTATACACTGCCATCCGAATTACAATAAAAACAAAATCAAGAGAAAAAATAAATGAGGAGCTTATAGAAAGGCGATGGGGGATATAGATTCGTGGCAAATAAATTATAATTAAATGCACACAAACATGTGAGTGAATGAATGATGTTTGTCACTTATGAAGCAAAGCAAAAGGGAAATAAATTGATTAAGATTAAGTTTTTTTTGTTATAATTAATGGTTAATCAATTAAGCAAAATGTCTTAAGTGGGGTCTTAGTGTGCTTAAAGGCTTAACCGATCTCTCCTTCCATCCCTTTGTGTCATAACCAAGTAACATTCATTTAATTAGTGCTAACACAACTCTGTATATATATACAGAGAGAGAGATTTATAGATTAGTAGTTTTACAACTAACGAAATCTTTAATTATATAAATTAATTATTACAAAAAAAAAATAGAATTGAATTTATGTATAAAGACAATAAACCCAATATAATATCCCAGATTCCCCGAGATGTTTGTGATATACGATTGCTCGTTATTACTATGTGGAAGAAATAAATTATTATTTTTTCATGTTCCGCGTTACGCACTAAGGGTTACTATTTGATATTAATTTATTTCAGTGGGAAATGGTTTCCTATTGGTTTGGATATGGTGCTGCTCAATGAGCGGTGGTGATGGGGATCATGTGGGTCCCACCGAAATAGGGACCACCTACACCTCCCCGTATTCTATCATTCCTCTCTCTTTTTTTTTTGATAAAAGACTATATACAACCATGTATATTAGAACGGAATAATACTTTGAAACATTCAAATACGATCTCTAATCATTCCGCGGATCAATGCGAGCAATCGTGTTATTTACTTGTTACATTATAATCCTCAATATAATTTAGACTTTAGCTTATACGTATTAATTAGTTGATAAGATATTAGATCGATCGATCTATAATTAGATGCGGAGTCCTATTTCATTATGTCTCCGTCGAAGTTAACGTTGCAACTTGCATGGACACGTTAATCGTAATGGAGACCGTCGAAAATTTCACATGGAACCTTCCGCCGTCAGAAAAAGAAACATTTGTTTTATTACATATCGAACGATAATATTTCCATTATTATTAATTAAAACAAAAGAAACGACACAAATATACATACATACATATATATATACACGCACACATATATATGGGTGGGGGCAAAAAACGACGTCTCTTCGTATATTAAAACGAACAAACCATTGATTTATGTGGATCAACGAGCGAGATCTTTGTAACGTTGAGGATTTTTTGTCGTGTCGGTGCTAAATGTAATAAAAGCCAAAAAAAAAATATATTTTACAAAATCCTAGAGCAAATTTTACATTAAAGATTCGTGTCTCAATTAAAATATATATAGGGGATTTGACGAATACATATATATATATATATACACATATATGTAAGGGTATATGTTTTGTTATGTTGTTGATAATGCATCATATATATTAATTGATAAAAATAATTATATACAAAACTAAAAAAAAATATATATTAGAATGGTAATATGTGCATAAATGGATGGAGTTTCATTGTTTCCCTCTCACGGAACCATAATTTTGTTCTCTGGTATTGACTCCCCTTTGTCTGGTGACCATTTCAGGAGCTTGTGGACATTCCCTTTAGGATCTTGTCCTTGTTCCTTGTCTTAGCCTTGAAGCTTCATATGCCCACATATCTCTATATATATTAAAAAATAATATATGTGATTATTTATATAATAATGATTCGAATTGCTTCGTTGGTTTCTATGAATTTTTTGAATTTTAATTAAAATGGAATAAAAAAAATACACTCGGGTCTATTTCAATATGCCATTTAAGGACAGTAATATTTACTCTGTGGTGATCAAGTAAAATCTCACAATACTAAATTAGTCAAAGATAGTAGACATTAATTAGGTTAAATTTCTGCGAAGAAAAGGTAAATTATTGATGACAAGGTAATTAACACCGCAGTTCATAATTCTTTTGGTTAGTATAACAATTGCATCATTTGAAGATTGCGAATTTATTTTGTAACAACATTCCAAACATTATTCATATGATATGAAACCAATTGATGAAAAATATTATATAATATTGATTATTGTTAAGATATGATCGAGGAAAATACTTTTTAGAAATTGTATTATTTGAAAATGATTTGTGTATATAATTATATACATACATATTTAAGAAAGATACTTTATAAGGTTTCCTAATCTAATACAGAATTATAATATAATCATACGTATTTAATTACATAGTTGTGATAAACAAAATGTTAATGACATTGTGATTTTTTTTAATTTTCTGAATAATATAAATTATATTGAAAAGGGAAAAGGAACAAATAAATTATAAAAAAAAAGTAATTAGAACCACTTTGGCCCGCCAGTTTTGGGTTAACCGAAAACATTTGCCAAACAAAATCTTCTCTTTACAACTTTTCCACTTTTCCAAAAGTAATTTGAGTCATAAAAGCTTCTAAAAAGCTCACCACTGTCCAAACTCTTTATGATATACATACATACATACATACATACATACATACATACATACATACATACATACATACATACATACATACATACATACATACATACATACATACATACATACATACATACATACATACATACATACATACATACATACATACATACACACATAAGATTGTATAGAAATATTATATGTCTACATGAGAGGTGTTTTCACCGGACGAAAATTCTGAACCGTTGGATCGTTTATCAATTGTTGTAATGATGTCGGATCATAATTCTGTACACAAAGCAAACCTCGAAATGATTTTAACTTCCAAACTAAATAAAGTCAAAACCCTGATAACTGGCTTCATGCCTCGAAAATGTACTCGTGTTTTACAAAATCAAATTAATCATAACATTTTTTTTAGATAATTAATTGGATATTTAATTTAAACCAAAATTCTAACTTAATTGGGCGTCTGAATACATTATTGAATATTTTAGAGACCAAAGACTGTAGATCAGTCGGTTTAATTTTATCTTAATAACAATTCGATATCTAAACTATATAAATATTATGAGAAATGAAACAGTTTACAATTGAAAACTGATAATAATGAAAAGTATAATCTTAAGCAATAAGTTAAAAATGATAGAATTATATATATATATATATACCTAAAGAAGCAGTTGGGTATCAGCATCGACCTGTCTTTCCCGGCATACCAATTGTAACCGACCATCTCGGTGCTGACCACCAGCGCGTGGCTGTTAGGGCACGACTGTAACATGTCACGCGCCAGATCAACCGCTATGATCCCTGCCGAGCATCCCATTCCTCCCAAGTTGTAGCTCAAAATGTTCCCTCTCATCTTGTAATGGTTTATTACCTGTTGGAGAATAAGATTCAAGACATTATTAGGGTTTCTAGGTTTGAATTCATGGATTAGTGGGTAATTAGAAAACTGGGAATTTTGTTCATTTACCCCTTTTCAATTCAAAATTTATTCGAATACCAAAACCTAAAATTCATTTTAAACTTTATTAAAAGCCAAAACCCTAGTAAAAACATCAGTTATTTTCTATACTACATATAATTAAAAAAAATATAAATATATATATATATATATATATATATATATATATATATATATATATATATATATCCTAGGTGTTTATAAGCTAAGGTAACATGTGATATATTGTTTTTATGTAATAAAAGAGGGTAAAATAGTAGTTAATGTCTAAGAGGAGGGTGAAAAGGTAAAAACGTCAGGTGTATATATTGGGTAAAAAAATAAAGCGTAAGAAAGTAGGCATGATGAGAGCGCATCTTGGTGGTTGTTGCATGGGAACATTATTCGAGATGAGCCGTTTGTATTGGTGAACCAACAAAACCGGTTAAGATTCCATTATCTAGGTATTTTTTTTTGGATTATAATTTACATAAAATCATTACAAAAAGCATTGTTTTTTGTATTTATTTATTTTTTGTTTTTAAACGGGCCTTCTTATTATAGTATTACAGCTTTCATATAAAAAAATATTACAGTTTTGTTAAGGCATATAAATAGTAAATTATATGCATTGTATACATTTTAGTTCCGTGATGGTAATCGATCATTTAGGTATGTGAAACCCAATAATTAAATTTTTTTTTTACCACAATTCAACACGGTTTGTTCATTTAATCAGCAAATTTAGTTTGAAATATATATACTAGCTAGTGTGAAAATTTTAAAATATTTATTTTCCATTTCTAGAACATACAACACACACGCACATATATATATATATATGAGTTGCTGTTTCTTGGTTAGTCAACCGTGATTGGCGCCGGGAAAATCAATGGAAAATTTTACGGAAAATTGTTTATAATCTAAACGAAAAAAAAGGTCCTTGTGTTTTTCTTTAAATGAATTTCCTATGACACCGCAAAATCAGCATGAAACTATGACGTCTGTTCCCGTACGGCATCTCTCGTGCCCGAATCCGTATTGCTGACGTGTCAATAAACATATGTAAGAGAAAGGAACTGCGTGATTGAATTGAATTTTTACTGTTGTCCGAAAGGGAATGCCTCCAGTTACTCGCCAATCAAATCCTGCTTCATTTGATTTATTACTGAGTTTTCATTTAGTCATTTTCAGTATGATATTCAGAGAAGAAGCTCAAGGTTGGTCGATTTCATACATTATTCTTTTCATTACAAAAAGAAAAACCAAATATTCAGTTAAAATTAAATAATGTGTTTTTTAAAATGTTAATAAACATGCGTATTTTACTAAATTATAGATGGATAATAGTATGATCGTTTCTCATTATACGACCTTAAAGTTTTCAGGAGATATTAAAAATAATCTGAATTTTTTTTCCTTCAAAAATAGAATTTTTATTTACGGATTAGGGGTTAAAATGATAAAGAAGGAAGAAATGGTGAGAAAATAGAAATACAAGGAAAGAGGGAGTTGAAGCGTGCGAGATCAGTAAGATCACACGCTTGAGCAGTTAGTGGCGGTTAGAAAGGGGAATTACGGGGATAAGTAACGCCGTTACTTTGCAGACGTTAAAAAAACGTGAAGGCCGACGAGGTCTCGCAAAACGACGCAGTATAGATCGATCTTAACGGCCGTCTTAACGGCTCTTTTTCGTGTCCTTTTGCTTTTCTTTCAGATTCTATAAGAGGGCTAAATCGTCGGAGCTCGTACTCTGTCACTTGACTCCTCTCCTTCTTCTTCTCTCTTTCTTTTTCCCTTTTCGTCTGTTTGGATACTGAGAAAGTGGGGAGATAAAATCTCTTTCGCTGCAATGGCGGTTTCGGCCAAATGGATTTGGGGTTTCCTCGCTGTGCTGTTCATTGGAGCAATGGCGAACGCGACGGAGGACAAGATCTCTCTCTCCAGGTCTCTATTTCTTAATTTCTCATTGCGTCTCTCTTTCGATCGAGAGAAAATGCGAGAAAATTTTTCTTATCTCGCTTGAAATTATGCGGAAGAATTAGGTCCCTAGCCATCGTCTCCATATTCCTGTCTTCGTTCACAGGGAGCAGATTTCTCTCATTCTGTTCCGTTTCCTGTATCGAATTTTCGCTTCTTCACATCTACTTGGCTCGCATTGTCCTCCGCGCCGGGAGTTCTCCTTCGCCATTCTCACCATTTTCTGTGGAATCTGGATCAGTGCTTCTTCCCCTGTTTGGATGCTGGGAAAATGAGAGAAAACGCTATATTTTTAAGAAAATTTCCCACACGCGCTTTTTTGCTCAACCAAGTTTCTCGCGAGCAATCATGAAGCTTCCCGTCAATTTTATTTTTCTATCAGAAGCACAAAATTAAGCTACGTTTTTTTCTTCGCCATTTTTTTTTGTTTAACAAAAAAATAATTTTTTTTAAATTATGGTTTCGAGCTCTTACTATGCGCCTCACTTCGAAGCAATACGGACCGTTGGTTTCGGGCGGTGGATCCAGATCCAACGATCTAGACCGTACATTCCCCTACCGCCCAGCCGATTTTACCTTTTTAACCTCCAGCGATGCGTACGTCAGCTTTGTGGAAAGCCAATGGGGAGGGTATATTGGTCATTTACTACGAAACGATTCTCAGTCTCTTCTCACGTTAACTTTTCTTTAACGGTTTCGCCGGATGGTGACTTTCTTGAGCAGTGTGTATATTCTCCAGATTTTTTTTTTAAAAAAAAATCGTAGATAATACGTATATCAATAATAATTTTTACGGTTTCTGTTATTTTCAAAAATTATATTTTTATATATATTGAAATTTTAATTTTATTAGAGCCGAGGAGGAGCCGGAATGGAACGAACATGCGGTGGCGGATCCAGACAAGGTTGCGGACGAAGTCGCCTCCTTGGTTGATATGTGAGTTTTACATTCTGTCCGCTAATAATTTCTTATGTTTCTTTTTTTATTCCTCCACATGAAAATATAAATACCAAGAATAATTCACACGTAAATAGAATATTTAATTTACTCCAATAAAACAATAATGTATCATATTTACGTACATATATCTTAATATGCTACGAATTTTATATGAATCCAAATTAGGTGTGGTACATTAAGCAAACCCATGTTCAGAAATAGTACGTAGAGTTTTGCATTGAGTTCCAGATACAACATGGCAAGATTATCGAAGAATATAATATATATATATATATATATATATAGCCTTTTTACTTTAATTAATGATAATAGTAATAAATATGATAGAGTAGCCGTTTTTGGAGGCGTAATAAAGAGCACATAGGATACAGTTACAGTGGTCCTATTTCGTTTAATTACCATTGTCACTTCTCTGTTGTTGGGTGTTGTTGGATCGGATCTGCCTGTTTTGTGTATATATATATATATATATATATATATAAAGATTACAGCTTATTTATTACTCTCTCCAACCAACCAATCTTTGAATTCCTCATGTTCACATGACAAATACGTCCTGTTGAATAAATATAACCAAAATATTCATGCTACATTTAGAGTAGTGTATGCAATCATCATCTCGCATTTTTATTTCATTTTATAATACAAGTATATGATTGTAACATGGTGGTCTCTGTATATATATATATATATTATAGTTTCCTAGTTATACCGTTTGCTTTTCAGAATCCCACCAACTTGGAAAATACAACCACTTCGCACATGTATCATTCATTATTGTTTTAGACGACCTTTATCCAAATTCTTGTTAAAAAAAAATATTGCCTTTTTTTTTAATTAATAATAATATTAAAATAACTCAAGCAGACAGTTTTCACTGCACCACGTCACATGCCTCCACTCGCACCAGCGGATCCGTGTCCCACGCGTCTTGCATAAATGTGTGTCTTCCATTTTCCTTTATAATTAATAAAATAATAAATGCACATCTTTTCTTACTCTATTTACTAATGTGACCGTTATTCAATACAGCATCCATGAATTTTATCAAACCAAATAAAATTTTACGTTTTTTTTAATGTACTGTTACAGTTTATTATTAAATAAAACCAACTCGGGATGGGGGGAGGGAGGAGGAAAGGCAAATAAATATTTGAAAATGGAATATTGTGCTTTATATAGTTTGTTTGTACGGTCCAAAAATGGGAGGAGTCAAAACCATATCCGTTTTCCTGTGGACAGACAGGGGTGGATCGTCGTTAACAATGACTAGATTCACTAACTTGTTCGTTTGTCTTTAAATCTGCTTGTCCGTACTTAACGGTCTCTTTCTGCGTCTGTCGCCGTTTGCTACAGAATCTCACGGTAGGAATCAAATCCCACCGACACATGGCAAATGACAGCTACCACCATTCCATAATATAAACACAAAATTAATTAATTTAAAAAAAATCAAATTCCGTAATTATGAGTTAATTTTGTGTGGTGGGTGAATCTTGTAAAAACGCAGGAGCATGAGGAACCACACGGAGAGGAGGAAACTGGGGTACTTCTCTTGCGGAACGGGCAACCCGATCGACGACTGTTGGAGATGCGACGCCAACTGGCACAAGAACCGCAAACGCCTCGCCGACTGCGGGATCGGCTTCGGCCGAAACGCCATCGGCGG